CAGTTCTTCTCTATTTCTTGGTTTTGCCTCAGAAACTGCATTTTTGATGTCACCCCACAAGTTTTCTATTGGATTAAGATCCGGGGATTGGGCTGGCCACTCCATAACGTCAATCTTGTTGGTCTGGAACCAAGATGTTGCACGTTTACTGGTGTGTTTGGGGTCGTTGTCTTGTTGGAACACCCATTTCAAGGGCATTTCCTCTTCAGCATAAGGCAGCATGACCTCTTCAAGTATTCTGATGTATTCAAACTGATCCATGATCCCTGGTATGCGATAAATAGGTCCAACACCGTAGTATGAGAAACATCCCCATATCATGATGCTTGCACCACCATGCTTCACTGTCTTCACAGTGTACTGTGGTTTGAATTCAGTGTTTGGGGGTCGTCTGACAAACTGTCTCCGGCCACTAGACCCAAAAAGAACAATCTTACTTTCATCAGTCCACAAAATGTTGCGCCATTTCTCTTAGGCCAGTCAATGTGCTCTTTGGCAAATTGTAACCTCTTCAGCACATGTCTTTTTTTCAACAGTGGGACTTTGCGGGGGCTTCTTGCAGATAGCTTGGCTTCACATAGGCGTCTTCTAATTGTAACAGTACTCACAGGGAACTTTACACCTTCTTTCATCTTCCTGGAGCTGATTGTTGGCTGAGTCCGCACCATTTTGGCTATTCTTCTATCCATTCGAATGGTAGTTTTTCGCTTTCTTCTACATCTTTCAGGTTTTGGTTGCCATTTTAAAGCATTTGCGATCATTTTAGCTGAGCAGCCTATCATTTTCTGCACTTCTTTATATGTTTTCCCCTCTCCAATCAACTTTTTAATCAAGGTACGCTGTTCTTCTGAACAATGTCTGGAACGACCCATTTTCCTCAGAATTTCAGAGAGAAATGCACTGTAACCAGCATGTACAACATTTTCTGCCTTCCTTCCTTAAATAAGGGCAATAATTGCCACCTGTGAATGAATGACCTCACTAATAGAACTCCACACTGCTATTATTTTGAACATGCCCCTTTCAATTAGTGATTCAATTACACAGAATCAGCAGCATGCATGTCATGTCTGTTGGGTCTGTTGGATTTCTATTACTCTACTACACCTGCTAGTAAATTATTTGCCATGTAGAAATATAATTTCTACCAAAAACAGTGATTGATCAGGTTAGTGATGTCTGACTGCTATTATTTTGAACACAACTATATATATATATATATATATATATAAAAAACTGTTGGTACTAACAACCATGCCACTTTCAAAGTCACTTAAACCCCCTTTCTTCCCCATTCTGATGCTCAGTTTGAACTTGAGTAAGTCGTCTTCACCACGTCTAGATGCCTATATGCATTGAGTGCTGTTTAGCAATTTGTGTTACCAAGCAATTTAACAGGTGTACCTACTAAAGTGGCCGGTGGGTATATATATATATACTATATATATATATATATATATACACAGTATATATATGTATATCAAGGTAACAAAAAGATTCACCCCCCCCCCTTTTAAAATAATAAAATTTTGTTGCTTTGCAGCCTGAAATGAAGACAGACACAGTTTTTGTTTTATCCAGCTCTATGTACTCTGCAACTGATAACATCCAAGTGCAAGATATAATGCCAACATGTCAGAAAAAAATTTCACAATTTCACAAGCAGAATCACTGAGTCTGAAGAAGGATCACCCCTTGTGTCAGTATTTTGTTGAACCACCTTTTGCTTTAATTCCAGCCTTTGGTTTGTTGGGATGTCTCTACTAACTTTGCACATCTTGACTTTGCAATATTTGCCCGCTCTTTTTTGCAGAACTGCTCAAGTTCAGTTAAATCTGCTGGTGGTCATTTGAGGATTGCAGTCTTCCACAGATTTTCAATGGGGTTTAGGTCTGGGCTCTGAAAGGCCATGCAAGGACATTCACCTTTTTCTCCTCCAACCACTGCGTGGTCATTTTTGCTGTATGATTTGGGTCATTGTCATCTTGGAAGGTAAACCTTCTTCTCATTTACAACTTTCTGGCAGAGGGCAGCAGATTTTCCTCAAGAATTTGATGGTATTTTGTCCCATCCATTTTCCCTTCTTTCCCGACAAGTGCTCCAGTCCCTGCTTCAGAGAACCCCCCATAACAGGATATTCCCACCTCCATGGTTTACTGTAGGAATGGTGGGATTTGGATGGTGAGCTGGATTGGATTTCCTCCAGACATATTGTTTAGTGTTGAGACCAAATCATTCAATTTTAGTCTCATCTGACCAGAACACCTTTTCTATGTGACCTCAGAATCTTCAAGGTGCGTTTTGGCACATCTTAGTGGTGATTGCATGTGGCCTTTCTTGAGGGAGAGGCTTTTTTCTGGCAACCCTCCCATACAAGCCATATTTGTGGAGAATGTGTGATATTGTTGTCACATGCACACAATGACCACTCTTTGTCATCAATTCCTGCAACTGCTTCAGAGTTGCTGTAGGCCTCTTGGTAGCCTCTCTGACCAGTTTCCTCCTGGCTTGTTCATCCAGTTTGGAGCAACGTCCTGATCCAGGGAAAGTATGTGTTATACCAAATGCCTTCCACCTCTTAATAATAGACTTCATGGTGCTTCTAGGCATTGATAAAGCCTTTGAAATTTTTTTGTATCCATCTCTTGACTTGTGCCTGTCCACAACTTTCTCCCAGATATATTTTGACACCTTGCCACCTATAGTTGATTGTTTGCTTCAGTTTCGCTACTGGGGACTGAAATGCTTCAGGAAAGCTCTTTTCAGGCTGACCTAATCAAAATGACCCCAGCTGATCACAATTGAAAGTCAAATGGTTTTGTGTACCATTGAGAAGGTGATTAGCTACACCTGATTGAGTTTACAATTTTTTAGGTGGGGGGGGGGGATCCTTTTTCCAACTCAGTGATTCTGTTTTTTATTTATTTTTTTCTGACATGTTGGTGTTATATCTTTCACTTGGATGTTCTAGGTTACACTAAGTAAATACAGCTGGATAAAACAAAAAGTGTGTCTGCTGTGGCTGCGCAGCAACAAAATGTTACTGTTTTTTTGGGGGTGGGTTTAAACTTTATGAAAAAGTCCAGGAAGGGACGAAAAGCGTTGTGACACGTGACGTCTGACGCATCTACGTTTACCGGAAGTACCATTGTGGCCATCTTTGTTTAAGGAACATGCTGGTTTTGCCAGAATAAGACCACTTTAGACTACTTCTGATGCTGGAAGCGGTTTTTAGCAGTTTTTTTATGTAAGTGAATGAATAAATATGTTACTATTGATTACATATAAGTCTCTAAATATCTGATTTGCCTTATGAGGACCATGGGAACACGATAACAGGACTATTAAGAAGCCTGGAGGTATCAGCATCTAATGTGTGGGAAAAGCTTGATAATACCTACATAGGGTAATTACCCATTGCTGCACCAGTTGGAGTGTTTCACTTGAGTTGCACATCTTGGATTTCACTATTTGTTTTTTTTTATATTTTTTATTCAGTGGATGAGTCAACCATCACATTATGTAGAGATCACGTTTACTATTGTTGTTTGGAATTTGAATGTTCATGTGTGACATTAATCATTTAGTATATATTTAATATATTTATTTAATTTAATATATTTTATTATTGTATATTTTTTTTTCTCACTTTTTGTACACTTGATATGCAGTGTGCATGACACATTATTTGCTGCACGGACGTGTCTATGTAAAAGGTAATACACTATTTCTAGTTAATATTTTTTTGAGGTTCACGAATGTTGGGATACAACACGTTGGACTACCATATACAGTGTGACACGATGTGATTTGGAGGTGGAAAAGAAAGTGTTTGGACATTTTGAGATTTCAGAAACATTTATGGGATTTCATGTGAATTAATATTTTATTTATTTATTTATCTGATGTGTAGATGATAGGATTGGGTTAGATCATAGTTGAGAGAAGAGTTCACTTATTGTATTACTTTCAAGGGTGAAAGTCTTTTTCTTTTCTTCTGGGATAGGAGTTTTGATACTGTTGTAGTTGGGAGTGTGCACAGCTATTGGTTATTTACCAACCAGCCTGCAGCCAACTGAATTGATTGTGATTTGTATTTGGTTGAAAATTAATAAATATTTATAAAAAAAAAAAATCCTCCAGAAGCTGATTTAGTCACTTACAGAGTATGCAGCTTCTTTATCTTTTGATCCTGGACTATGTTCCAGTTTAAGCTGGTGCTGTGTTCGCTGTCCCAGGTTTCCTGTTCCCAGGTGGAACCTTTCTTTTGCAGCATTCTATGGAACCACCCTTCCATGCAGGGACTAGAATTGTGTCTCCTTACCCTAGGTTCACTTCTGTGCGGGTGGTGCTGCTGTGGATCCGTACGAAAATCCATGCAGCCGCACCACCCGCACAGAGAAATGCGGACCTGCGGGCGGGTGCCATTAATTCTAATGGCACACCGCCCGCACTGGAAAACGAAACCGTACTGGGAACCAAGGTTCCTGTGCTGGCTGCATTTTCCAAAGAAGTTCAGGGACTTCTTCTATGCGTGTCATGGGCACGGGAGTCCATTCAAATGAATGGGCTCTCGTGTCCATGCAAAACGCGGCTGCATATATGTGAACCGGGGGTTAAACTGTGTGCATCAATTGAAACACACAGTCCCGTAGCCTAGGATGGCAAGGCATCCCCAAATCCACCCTTTTCTTCTCTCCTCTATGCCACTGAGCTTGAGACTGCATTGTCCACTGCTAAATTCCTTCCTGTGAAGACTGGAAGTTTGGGGAAGCAGCACTAAGAGAGCAGGAGCTGGCAGCATTGAAATACAGGATGGAAATTGCTACTGCCAAGGTAAGATTTTACCAAATATTTTACAGGGGGAAAATGTATTTTATTGTGTTCGATGTGTTTAACTAAAAAAAAAAAACCAAAAGGGTTTAATACCAGGGGCGGACTGACCATTTGAAAACTCGGGCACTGCCCGAGGGCCCAGGGTCAGTAGGGGGCCCCATGAGATGCCCCTGGTACCTTTTTCATAGGCTTTTTTGAGTTTGGGCAAGGACACAGGGGCCCCATGATCCCCTATTGCCCGGGGGCCCCATGAGTTGTCAGTCCGCCCCTGTTTAATACTATTTAAAATGCTTTTAGTAAAACACAGATGATATAGAATACATATAGTAAACAACAATTTGCGTAGCGCTTTACAAAAAAAAAAAAAGAGAGAGAGAGTACAGTTACAATACAATTCAAGACCAGCAAGTTGAGACTTGTGAGAGCTTACAATCTACCATATGATTATATGTTAATATGATTATAATACAATGCAGGATTTACTGTATATATATAACAGTTTACATAGCTCTATACAAAATAAAAGGAGACGGTACAGTTACAATACAATTCAACAAAAGCAGGTTAGTGGGCCCTGCCTGTGAGAGCTTACCATCCACTATATGATTATACTGTATATTAATATGATATAATACAGGATTTATATAGTGCCAACAGTATGCTCAGCGCTTTTACCAAATAAGAAGAGACATGACTAGAGCACCAGAGATAGGTCATCCAAATCCCCCCCCCCCCTTTTGGCTATACTTAAAGGAAAACATGACACCAATTTTGGAGTAAATGGCCAACATGGCCTTTTATTAACAAACATTTTAAACACACCAACCATTCCTTATAACAGAAACATACAGAGTTGTTGTTGTTGGTCTTCGAAGGCACCCCCAAAAATGATCTGAAATGCACCATATACACTAGGCCTCCAGCCGCAACCAACCAGCTCGGAGACAACCATACCGTCCACAGTGCAGCACCACCACCTTCCAGTTAAACCTCGGTTAACTGGAATGTCCCCGGGCACACCATACCACCGATGGGTCCCACACCATTATCTGTACCTCCAAGATAATACCCGCCTCCAAAGACCAACAACCGCCCAAGGCCAAAATAACCCCCCTTTCCCTCCGAGAGGAACACAATACTCCCTAAAATAGGGAGGGTGGGAGGGAAGCTCATTCACCAACGTCCAACTCCGACTGAAGCCCCCCCCCCCCCCCCCCCCCCCCCACGGGGGACACCCCACCCTAAGGTGCAGCAGAGCCCACCCACGCTCTCCCTCTACCAACCAGCACCCCCAGCTATACTTTTCCTCACCCCCTGGCACATAATTAACCCTTTCTAGTCTCCTTCCCACTCTAGGCCTAGTCATGCCTGCCCTGCGCTAATTTTCATTTTTCCTTTCCGCTACGGGCATTTCTGTACAGTTGCAATACAATTTAGAACAAGCGAGTTATGGGGGGTGTTGGGGGGGGGGGGGGGCTCTGCTATGTAACTATGAGTGCTTACAACCTATCATATGATTATTATAATACAGGATTTATGTAGTGCCAACAGTGTGCTCTGCGCTTTACCAAATAGAAGAGACAGTACAGTTGCAATACAATTTAGGACAAACAAGTTATGGGGGGTGTTGGGGGGGCTCTGCTATGTAACTATGAGAGCTCACAACCTACCATATGATTTTATATCAATATAATATTATAATACAGGATTTATATTGCGCCAGCAGTGTGCTCTGCGCTTTACCATATAAAAAGTGACAGTACAGTTACAATGCAATTCAAGACCAGTGATTTTTGGGGGGGCCCGCTCTTTACGTCTGCAGGAAAACAGATTTAATCTCCAAACACAGAAAGGTTTCTTCACAGTAAGAGCTGTGAAAATGTGGAATAGACTCCCTCAAGAGTTGGTTCTGGCCAGCTCAGTAGATTGCTTTAAAAAAAAATCAGGAAGGGATTTTTTTCCCTGCAGGAGCATATTGGATCATGCTTTGCTGGGGTTTTTTTTTTTTGCCTTCCCATGGATCAACTGTGGGTATAGGATTATAACTTTTTTTTGTTGAACTGGACTTTTGTCTTTTTTCAGCTAGACTAATTATGTAACTATGAGTGCTTACAACCTACCAGGGGTGGACTGACCATTTGGAAAACTCGGGCACTGCAGGAGGGCCAGGGGTCAGTAGGGGGCCCCATGAGATGCCCTTGGTACCTTTTTCATAGGCTTTTTTGAGTTTGGGCAAGGACACAGGGGCCCCATGATCCCCTATTGCCCGGGGGCCCCATGAGTTGTCAGTCCGCCCCTGCAACCTACCATATGATTATATATTAATATGATATTATAAGACAGGATTTATATAGCGGCAACAGTCTACTTAGCGCTTTACAAAATAAAAAGAGACAGTACAGTTATAATACAATTCAAGACCAGCCAGTTTTGGGGGGGTCCTACTCATGCGTGCTTACGACCGACTATATGATTACATATTAATATAATTATAACAGAAGACAGGATTTATATAGCGACAACAATTTGCTCAGCGCTTTACAAAATAATAGGCGACAGTCTGGGGCGGACTGACAACTCATGGGGCCCCCGGGCAATAGGGGATCATGGGGCCCCTGTGTCCTTGCCAGAACTCAAAAAAGCCTATGAAAAAGGTATCAGGGGCATCTCAGGGGGCCCCCTACTGACCTTGGGCCCTCGGGCAGTACCCGAGTTTCCAAATGGTCAGTCCGCCCCTGGCGAGAGTGCAAATGCAATACATATCGGGAGATCAGGAAGGAATTTTTTTCCCTGGAAAAAACTGGATCATGCTTTGCTGGGTTTTTTGCCTTCCTTTGGATCAACTGTGGGTGTAGGATTATAACTTTTTTTTTTGTTGAACTGGATGCACTTTTGTCTTTTTACAGCCAGACTAACTATGTAACTATGAGTGCTTACAACCTACCATATGATTATATATTAATATGATATTATAAGACAGGATTTATATAGCGGCAACAGTCTACTCAGCACTTTACAAAATAAAAAGAGACAGTACAGATACAATACAATTCAAGACCAGCCAGTTTTGGGGGGTCCTACTCATGAGTGCTTACGACTGCCCATACGATTACATATTAATATAATTATAACAGAAGACAGGATTTATATAGCGGCAACAGTTTGCTCAGCGCTTTACAATATAATAGGCGACAGTACAAATGCAATACATATAGGGGATCAGGTAGGAATTTTTTTTCCCTGGAAAAAATTGGATCATGCTTTGCTTGGTTTTTGTTGCCTTCCTCTGGATCAACTGTGGGTGTAGGATTATAACTTTTTTTTTTTTTTAACTGGATGAACTTTTTTTCATTTTATCATTTTTCAGCCAGACTAACTATGTAACTATGAGTGCTTACAACTTACAACCTACCATATGATCATATATTAATATGATATTATAAGACAGGATTTATATAAAGGCAACAGTCTACTCAGCGCTTTACAAAATAAAAAGAGACAGTACAGTTACAATACAATTCAAGATCAGCAAGTTTTGGTGGGGCCCTGCTCATGAGTGCTTACAACCGACGATATGATTACATATTAAAAGAATGATAATATAAGACCGGATTTATATAGCGGTGACAGTTTGCTCAGCGCTTTACAATACAATATAGGCGACAGTACAAATACAATATATATCGGGGGATCAGGAAGAAATTTTTCCCCCTGCATGAGCATACTGGATCATGCTTTGCTGGGTTTTTTTTGCCTTCCTCTGGATCAACTGTGGGTATTATTATTATTATACAGTATTTATAAAGCGCCAATAGTTCTCTCAGCGCTGTACATTACAAAGGGGGACAGAACATGTGACAGAACAATACCAATACAATGCAAAACATGAGGGGATCGAGGGCCCTGCTCTTTCGAGCTTACAATCTAGGAGATAGGATTATAACTTTTTTTTTTTAATTGGATGGATTTTTGTAACTATGAGTGCTTACAATTTACCATATGATCATAGATTAATATGATATTATAAGAGGATTTTATATAGCAGCAACAGTTTGCTCAGCGCTTTACGAAATAAAAAGAGACAGTATAGGTACAAAACAATTCAAGACTAGCAAGTTTTGGGGGGGCCCATGCTTACAACCGACCATATAATTACATATTAATATAATTATAATATAAGACAGGATTTATATAGCAGCAAACAGTTTGCTCAGCGCTTTACGAAATAAAAAGAGACAGTATAGGTACAAAACAATTCAAGACCAGCAAGTTTTGGGGGGGCCCTGCTTACAACCGACCATATAATTACATATTAATATAATTATAATATAAGACAGGATTTATATAGCAGCAACAGTTTGCTCAGCGCTTTATGAAATAAAAAGCGACAGTACAAATACAATACAATTCAAGAAACACAGGTTAGGGGGCCCTGCTGGTGAGAGCTTACAATCTACTATGTTAATTCTAATGAAACAAAAATAGTAATGAATTGGAACCAATCAATTAATTATTATTAGTTTGCTGCAGGCGTGCTATCGAAAGCTGATCTATGATTGGTTGCAATGGGGTTACTGCATACCAATGTAATTTGCACCATATTATCAGATAAAGCCCACAGTGGTAATGCATTGTAAGCTCGCACAGAACGGTATTGCTGTTAACTCCTTTCCAGTAACAGAGGAACAATGGGATTCTGAATATATGCTGTGCTAATTCCTTTCAGTTTATCACTTATGGGGAAATTACACATGCACAGCGTGTCATACGTATAGATACAGACCGCTCACACACACACGGCTGGTCTCTTGCTCTCTTTCACACGCGCTTAACGAACCATTCATTTTTTTTAATTGCAGAATACATATGGATGCTTGAAAGCTTTCCCAAGGTTTCTCCCATTCAGTATATCATACTGTGCTCATGAATATACATTAAGAAAATCAGGAACAGGTGTTTCCAAGGTCCTGTTCCGTGGGAAACAACATGAAAATGCAAAGTGTCTTCTATAAAAGATAAGAAGGGTCAACCTTTGCCGTATTGGCGGACAGGTGTCTCACACTGCCATTAAATTTAGAAGAAAAAAAAAAAAAAAAAAAGAAGAAGTCTTCTTATATACCCCATACATCCTTGTCTTTACTGAATTATGAGCCTTTGGAGCCAGGATTCTTTCCACCGTTACATAAAGAGGTGTTGTAATGATGATAATTACCATAGGTTTTAATGAAACTGCTTGCTGAAAAAAAATGG